CTTTGTGTGCCCAATTTGGTTCCTATCAATAATTGCAACGGGTGTTCTTGTAATGTTCCATCGTGTAATGTTTGCTGTGTTTAAGCTTGCTTTGGTGGTTTCTAGGCTCTCCCGATGCAGGCTTTAATCCTTGGCACAGGGCGTAGGACCGTATAGGGTTTGTAGGGTGTTTGGGGTAGGATTTCAATGGGGCTGTGGTTGTGCGGGGATACTATAGTAACTATAGTAATTACAAGTATTCAGAGACAATGAAGGGCTACCGTTACAACCTTGTTTTTTCGAGGGTTAAGCGTTACGATTATAGAGTTGAGGTTCGAACTCTTGGTCTTTAGTGATATCAACCTTGATTGCAATCCCTAGCAAAATATGACGTCATCCTAACCCCAAAGCCCTGACCTCAAATCTCTAAGCCCTAAACCCTAAACCACCTGCAGCCTCAAATTTTCTGACCCGTTCTTTTGGGCCCAGGTAAACCCTAAACAGTTTCGATGCTGTCGGCTCCCCTGGTGCTGAGGATTTGGGGCAGACGCTCCGGGATTTGGTTGTCAAGGAGGCCTGGGTTTGGGCTCCGGGTGTCCATGCAGGTGTCCGCCCGTTTGACTGTAAACGTGTCTGTATGCATGTATATATATATATATACATACACATGTATGTGTACATATGTACATATGTATATATATATATATACATATGTGTGTATGTATGTATGTATGTGTGTGTATGTAAGTAAGTAAGTAAGTAAGCAAGTAAGTAAGTAAGTCAGTCTGTCTGTACGTATGTATGTATGTACGTACTTATTTCTGTATGTATGTGCACATTACATACATACATACATACATACATACATACATACATACATACATACATACAGACATACAGACATACAGACATACAGACATACAGACATACAGACAGACATACATACATATATATATATATATTCATTTATTTCTTTATATATATATACAGACATACAGACATACAGACACACAGACATACAGACATACAGGCATTCAGACATTCATACATACATACAAACATACACACACACATATATATATATATATACATATATATATATATATGCTACCCGCCCCCCCTCAGGACCTACCTCGAAGC